GTGTATAGCAAAAACTTAAAAGATCTTCTTTGAAAAAACCCAAATAGCTAGAGTTAAGATATTAAGCATGAAACATCTTTTAGTGAGTGTCTACACAGTTTGTTCAAATAAAAGCCCTTGGGTCAAAATTGGCCCTGTCCCAGGGGGTCATTGATTTTCCCTATATGCATTTAGTAAAAACTTAAAAAATCTTCTTTTAAAGAACTGTAAGAGCTAGAGCTAAGATATTTAGCATGAAACGTGTTATAATAAGTGTCTACCAAGTTTGTTCAAATTAAAGCCCTGGGGTCAAAACTGGCCCGGCCCCAGGGGTGTGATTGTTTTCAACTATATGTGTATAGTAAAAACTTGAAAAAAATCTTATTTTAAAAAGCCCAATGAGCTAGAGCTTAGATGTTTAGCATGAAACATCTTCTTATGGGTGTCTACCAAGTTTGTGCAAATAAAAGCCCTTGGGTTAAATTGGCCCTGCAACGTTAGGGGGAGGGGGGAGAGTTGGGGGCCTATATACAGGTGAGCGACCTCAGGGCCATCATGGCCCTCTTGTTATTTTTCAAAATTAATTTTTGTCCAGAGCATAACTCAAAAGGCCAAGATATTTTTATGTATCGAACGTTATCTTCGGACTTGCGAACTAAATCATTTGTACAGCATTGACAGAAACATATTTTGTTATTGTTAAATGCAGTTCAAATCTTACAAATTCGAATAAATTAGGAGAAAAACCGACCAGAACAGTCACATATCATTTCAAAATATCTACATGATCAGTTTATATCTTCAATAACTTCGTCAAAACAGAATCTAGGATGCTGAAACCTTAAACCGAGTGTTGTATATATATTGCATTATGGAATAGACATACTAATGAACTTCAAAATAACAAAGAAACCCACTTGCCTGGCAAAAATTCGTTCAGCCGTTTCAAAAAATCACGCCGTGTTTGCCATTTTGGCAAGTTTGCAACCAATTCGCTCGCTTGAACCAAGTGTGCAACCACTTCACGTCCTGCCCCTTGAAGGAAGGTCGGTTCTGCCGAACCGTATTAACATTTTCCCCATGTCGCATATCGGTTCTACCATTTTGATTAAAATCATAAGAGCTTTTCCCTGCTAAATTCCCATCATTTATACGGCCCTCATTTGTTTCACGGGTTTGTTTAAGTGATTAAAGTTCGAGGGAATTATCCTGTATACAGCTTGTAATATCTTTTAACATGTGACACATTTCCTCATTGTTACTATCGGCCTGTGATTTGAATGACGCATTTACACCGGTACTGTCCCTGGTAACGGACCAAAAAGATTCTACTGAAATATTATTATCATCATCGTCCGCTAATTTTCTGTTACGACCATTGTTTGCATCCCCGAATCCTTTTGATTGAAAAATATTGTCTGCTCGCTGTCAATGGTTTATGATGTTTTCATGGTAGCGTTTTAAGAAAGTTGTCTGAAGTCTTTAGCTCGAATCACTGGGCCCATATGGAATTACGGATCCCACCGCTTCGCACCAAAAGATGTTACGTGCCGGTCTTCTAGGACACGGGAAATCAGGCTTATTCTTGTTCAGGGACTTCTGTTATCACGTGAACTTGTGGCGAACAGAAACGTATATATAGTTTGACCCCGCAGCAAAGACAACTTGACTAATAATATATCAAAGTGCTGCAGCACTGAATGCGGCGGACATGCAACCGGAGAGACATTAATGCTTCTTTTAGAAAAAAAAAAACAAAAAAACACACACACAAAATATATAACAGAGAAAATTTGTTCCATACAAGTTCGAGATTTGTAGAGCAATATATTTTGTGTCCCAAATTGATATAATTCAGATTTTCTACTTTCAAGCACTTAAATACAGAATGAAATTTATGCCTAAAAACTCTGGTCAAATTTGTAAATCAGTGTCCTTATCGATTTATTCTAAGAAATGATATGTAAATAGAAAAACTATCCACGAAATATTTCTAGAATAAATCCAGGCAAATAAACTTCAAACATAATACATTATACATTTGAGAATGGTATTTAGAATTGCTTCGTGTTATATCATAGTGGGCATACAGACAATAAAATATAAGTCATTTGTATTTTTATTTCTCTTGGATATGTCTCATTAAAGAAAATTGGTTAAAATCATCCGCAATTAATAGTGTATTTCTTAGATTTTTTTTTAACAAGGTAAAGATGTAGAGGCCAGAGCACATCGTTTTTATTTTAATTTAAATGTCACTTAAGCACTACAGTGTTTAGTTGTCCTTTTCAACTTCACACTTAATTCCATTTTCAACTTGTTTGCTTCTTACAATTGTATAGAATTTCTTAAAGTATTGCATGTAATCCGCTGGTTTATTAAATACATGTTTAATGTGTACTTCCTAATCGCCTGTCCAAAAATCAGAACAGGTGAAGCAGAATCTATTTTTAGAATAGCGAAGGTAAACTCATATCATGACCTAGTAAAATATGTAAACAAACCACAAGAATCGGAAGTAGAACTGATATTATAACTTCCTTACCATGAAAGACTACATGGCGGTAAAGTGTTGTAAAACTCTCTTCTTACATGCATTTTCAAAAATAGATATTTATACTAACCATTGTACTGTATCTAATATATTAATAACTGCTGAATATTCAGCTAAATCTGCGGTATGAGTCACGAAAATAGTTCTTCTTTTATTAATGCGCGAGTTATCCTAGAGTCACGAAAAACTTTTGATTTGTTAATAATAATGTTTTGTATAATGTAGAAATATTTATTTCCTACTAATAATGTCTTGGAACTCAGAGGTTACACTTTTATTGTAGTATAATTTGCTGTCCTACTTTTTCGACAGCGGTAAATCGTTTCAGCAGTAATTTGCATATTGCGCAATAATACTACGGGACTACAACGCTTTTATCAATAATAAACGTTCATATTTTAACTTGGATAACTTAATTTGAAATTGAAAAGGCTAAATATGGAAGACATTAAGATATACAGACAAAGTATGGGAGTTTTGAAGGATCAAATTCATGTACTATTTCTTGGGCTGTTAATTGGTTTAGGACACATTGCGCGATTGTAGCCAACGAAATCCCATGTGTAGAAGACTTAGCGCTGAACGCGCCTGAGGGCGCGTCCGTCGCAATAAGGGAATAAATTATACGCCTTTTAAAGAACTAAAATCTTATCGATAATAAACTAAGAATGTAGTTTAACGAAATTTATTCCTAGTATTCAATTATGCACATTTATTTATCAGCATAAAAATGTTGTGATAATAAAACAGGCATTCTTATCAACAGTCCCTTCTTGTTTAAGATTAAAGGTATTCATCATAAAAAAGTGCGGAACAAATATAAGCGATCTAATTTAATTGCGTATGTAATAATATTAACAAAAGTAAATCATCAACATTTCTAAAACAATTTATTTAATAAGTTCTGAGCGTTTGCTACTGAAGCTTGCGTAAGTTCCGAAATAAAACAAGCATCTGTTCAAAGTATTTCTAAAAGATTTTCTTACTTAAAATTCATCAAATAATTCAAAGAAAATAGAAATAATAATCTATTAAATCGTTAAGTTAAAATACCCATGAGGGGTTCAAGCAATTGATAATTAAATCAACATATCAATGAATAGAAATGAAATAAATGCGTACATTTACATGTACCATAGGTAATTATTACAATATTTAAAATACAATGATAAGGAGTGAGTAGTAGATGTTGCGCCTATTAATAATTAAATTCAAAAAACATTAATTCAAACACTTCCCGCCGACCCCCCCCCCAAAAAAAAAAAAAAAAAAAAAAAACCAACAACAAAAAATCAAACAAACAAAAAACAACCAAGCAGAGCTAAGAATTCACTATGACGTCACTTTAGTGCAAGTATGACATAATCTCAAAGAAGCATACAAAATGGCGGACTTAAAATGACAATAAATGTGATTTATATTATCTTAGAAAATAAGAAATATGAACAAATTTAAGGTAAATGGACGTAAGAGGTGAGTCATATTATGATAGTAAAATAAGTTTAAAGCTAAATATGCAATCGTACGTTAAAATTTAAAGGTATAAGATGATAAGACACTTATTTTGAAAACCAAAGTAGGTTGACAAATTTACCGCCACATATCATTATGTACAGACTCAATCATACAGAGTCTGCAAAATTCATGCAATTTTGTTGTGATTAACCTTCCGAGAGGTCACTTTGTTTCCAGATTTTGATTACAGGTCTTGAGGGTAGAATAATTTTAGAGAGAATGATGATGATTTACAAAAGAAAATACTACTTTAACACAACAAAACAACAAGTATCAAAGAAAGGCACTTTTTTCCTTTTCTTTTTATTAAGCAAAATTTAATATGTTTCAAGTTTACTCGCACATGTAATTAATTTACTCGTCGTTGAAAAGTATGTCTTTTTGATCGCTCATCAAATTTCGTAATACTATGTATTTTTGGTAGATTATTACAATTTATCGTGTTTTTATTGTCCCGATAATATAGATTTATTGGATTTGACCGTGTCACTAAAGCGTGATACATTTTTGGTCATATGTTCACAAAACAATTAGATTTTTTCAATTATATCACCTCATCCTCTCGAAATTTTAGCGTCCATTGCACTTGAATTCGCCATTTATTTTGCTTAATTAAGATCGAACCTCTTGTACAGCTACATCTATATTACATAGTAATCGATAGACACATAAGCACAACGCATTTTTTATTTTCTTTATCCTGAAATGATGTCTATCTGGTGACTTTGCTTATGCAATGAAAACTTTTATGGTAATGATTACTGGAGTGACTTGTAAAGGAATAATGATGTTGTCAATACAAATTTGATATTTTGCCTCATTCTACGTTCCAATATTAAGAAAGCTACATCAACAAAACAAAAAAAAAAGCAAAAAATAATAAAAAATCAGTAAAATAAAATAACAAAAAAAAAAAAAGAAAGAAAAAGTTAATGTAATGTTTTTAGGGCTTCGTTACACGATAAGGCTTGTAATACAAATTTATCAGGTTACAAAAAGGTTTAAACTTCTAATTGGATTCTATGAACTGTATAATCAATTTTATAAAACGCCAAATATATTTAATAGAGTCCGTAGGAGTGTTTTGATTATTGGAGCAATTATAAGGCAATTACATTATTTACAATTTCACACGTTCAATAGATTTGTGGAGGTAAAAGTACTTATTTACTTTTTTTAAAATCAAGTTGATTATTTCGATCCAACTATACTTGCGTCTTAGTTCTAGAAGTTCACGAATTCCGGTCACCGCTCTTTCTACAACAGCTTCAGCCTGCGTGGTATAAAAATGATCTTGAAAAGGGGGTTAAGGTAAACACTTTGGCAAACAAAGATACTGTTACATCATTTCTATTAGTTTTATCACAATTATAAAAAAAACGTAATATTTTTACAGAATTGTGTGGCCATATGTGGCTATTCATATAGAACATATTTGGTTTTAGTATTTGAAATTACAGTTACTTATTCAGAGCGAATCAAAATATGTTTTGTTATAATTTTGAGATCATACATTATATATGACTGATTTTAAGTCAGGTAGATGCAAAACTTATGCTAGTATTTTAAGTATCGAGCCAACCTGTTTGCTCCTAGCCACTCCATATCTACATTCTGTAGCAAAGTGCTCACAATTGTAGGTCGCCAAATTATATCCATGGCTACCGAGTTGCTCTGTTGCTCGCCCCACAATTTCGCTTTTACTTAAGGGTCTGAATGTAAAAACTTTAAATAATGTGTAAAGGGAATAATGAAAGCTAATGAATTGACATTTTTCTTGCATATTATAATATCAATTTGGTCAACAATATCTTACTATGCACTATTATTTTAATTCGCAAGAACCTGAGAATACAACATTATTTAATTTCCTCTTTTTCTTAAAATGTAGACTGTGTATGAAATGTAAAATGTTTTCAACACATTAAATCTTACTCATGTTCGTTGTCAAATTCATTGTTTCGATAAGTCTTTGAATATCTCGCAGCAGTTTTTATATTGTCCTTTCGGACGCTAGTGCCACGTTTCATGTTTTTCAGATTAAATTTCCCCATAGCATCAGGATTCGGTGATAAATGAATGACTGTTTGATTGCCTTGAAAAAGATATAGAGAATGACATGTTACTTTCATTTTTATCAGTTTTAACAAAGATTTTTGATAAATTCTGAAAGAAAGAACGCTTGAAACCGACATAACTGATTATTTTTATGTTGGGGTTTCCTAGCCTCAGTTTAATCAAAGACATATTTTTTCACTCATAACAAACAGTAACCAATGAATATTAAGCATTTGCACCTCGTGATATTCCGGTATAAATCAAAATAAGAAGTTATTTTATCAATTACCTATGTTTCACCTTATAAGTCCTTCAAATCCGTATTATATGCATACTGTACGCCAACAAGTCAGCTTTACATTTTCTGAGTTGAAAATTCAAAATAAAATGGAAAAATACTAAAGATAACTTTGTATTAAAAATTCAAATTACTGATGATTGTGTGTTTATCTTTATTGTGATTCTTCATTAAGAAATTTATTATGTAAAATAATGAACTATATTCAGTTTAGTCCCATACTGTTTCCTACAGCACGGTTTTCTAGTCTGTACCGACAGTTACTGGTAAGATGTATAATAATATTTTACTTTTCTAGAAGCAATGTTAAGACACGAAACGACAGACGAAGACATGTGAGTACAAATGATAAAATATATCTTTTCATACGTTATCGATAACGCCTAATAAATGGGGGACGGGTATAATAAATAACTACTTATTTTTTTTTTAAAATTATAGTACGGATAATAGCAATATTATCAATATAATATTGTATTTAAAGATATCGATAATAATATAATTAAAAGAAGAAAATCTATCTCAGGGTTTCAAACTTTACAGAAGTAGTGCTACATATAAAGAAGTGAACATAACTAAAATCAGAAATATAAAAAAAACAAGAACAATATATTCTACGTGTTTCTTTATTAAATTTATATTTACCAATATAAACAGCCCAATGAGAGTAAGTTCCCCATGCCCGGTAAAACTCTATCAAGTCACCTTCTTCTAAATCACATATTGCAATCTCTCTTTCAAATAAAAGTGGCATCTTCTGATCACATATCCTCACCTTTTTTATAAATAAAACTTATGTCAAACACTTTAACGAAATCGATCAATTCAATATTTAAGTTGGCAAAGACGCAATAATGTGATTAACTGTACAAAGTATTACAATCAAGGAGCATATTTCAAGCGTTTATAGATTTTCAATGAATAAAATGTATTGTTAAAGCTAGTTATAATAGCAAGTACGATCTTACCATAAAATCGTAAATAGAGGATATTGAATTATTGGAACAAGTTGAAACAAAAGGCTGTAGGCTCTGTGGTATTTTCTGATCTTTGCAATATAAATCATACTGACTATCTGTATGTATTTTACTGTTTAAGTTTATTTTTTTTATATACTATAATTCATCTTACAGGGCACCGATATGCAGCAACTGCGTTTAGATATTTTACTATAACATTTTGAGTTTGATACATACGGAATTTCGCATGACTAGAGTTGCGTCAAAAAATCATTTATGTTCATTTTTTATGACAGCCACACTTTATCATTACATATCGTGGCTACTTCCTTAAAAGACACGTCAAATAAAAAAAGGTGCCTCGACTGGGATTTGAACCCCAGACCTCTCACATCCTAAACGAGCGCGCTACCCCTGCACCACGGTGAAATAATTAAGTAGGTAGCCTGAATAAAAACATATATACTATATTGTAATTCTATATTGAGAATTTCCATTTCGTGTTTGTAATCCTTAGTACCATCTTATTTCGTACAAAACTTCTACAAATAACTATTAAAACACTCGAATGCAATATGCGAGAACGCTTGTATTTAGGGACAGTATCCAAGATGACATAATAATCGTGCAAATATAGCATAAAGCAATAAATATTGTAATTGGTTAATTCATTTTATCCCTGTCATACAGAAACAAAGGATATTATCTTTTGCCGAGGTATCCGCCACAGAAACGCCACCACCACCCCCGTCCCAAAGTACAATACGAGCCCGTGCTAACAAGGCAAATGATTCTGAGGTAATGGCTTTCTTACGTGAAATGAAATCTGAGATGAAGACTGATTTATCGAACATTAACAGCAAAATTGATGATATAAATAAAACAGTTAACGTGCTTAAAAGTGAAAATGTTAAGTTACGCCAAGAAAATGTATGTATGAAGCAGGAACTTTCTAATCTGTCTGTGAAGTTAGACAGGCTCGAGGGACATTCACGTGGAAATAATTTACGATTTCTTGGTATTGAAGGCCGTATTTCTGAGAGCTTGGAGGAAAGTGAACGAAAGGTACGAAACTTTATTTCCAATACACTTAACCTAACTGAATTGGCAAATGTTGACATTGAAAGGGCCCATAGAGTAGGCAGTAGACGATCGGACAGTTGCCCCATTATAGCTAAGTTTAGCAAATACAAGGACCGAGAATGTGTATTGCGTGCGGCTCGTCAAAGTCTTAACTCGCAATCGCAGTATTCAGTGCGTGAAGATTACACTGAGCGTGTACAATTACACAGGCGAGAACTGACCAAAACATTAGTTGAGGCCAGGAACCAGGGCAAATATGCATCACTTCGCTTCGATAAGCTCATTGTTGACGGTGACATGTACAAATACAACGACACAGACAATATAGTCGAGCGGATTGGTAGTTCAAGATCACGTGGTCGTGTTGGCGCGAACAACGGATTGCAGCGATTGGACGCTAGTCGCGGGAATGATGACGCAGATACCCGTGCCTCTCAAGGTCAAAATAACTACAACAGTAGTAACACATCTTCGCGTGGGCGTGTGAGTAGCAGACTTTTAACTAGTGAGGTATATACTCAACCAATCAACAGCCAGGATCATGAAGCGGACGACAGTGACCGTGACCTCTAGGGAATCGGCCAAGGCCAAGTAAACGATAAAACCGATGTAAATATTATCACATGGAATGTGTGCGGTCTTTATAAATTTATTGACAATTTAGAAATTAAGTCTTTTTTAAGTAATTATGACATTATAGTCCTTTGTGAAACATGGAGTAAATTTAAGGGTGAATTTGACAATTTTATTAATTGTTATGTACATTTTGACTTTGTTCGTAATATGAAATCGAACTCCATAAGGAATAGCGGAGGTGTTAGCGTTTTTATTAAAAGTAATCTTGCAAAACTAAATATTATTCGTCGCTTATATGATAAATATGACAATTGTGTAGTATTATATTTTGAGTTATCTACATTGTTTACTTGTGAAGATATTATTATGTATTTAACATATATATCACCAGAAGGTTCATGTTATTATGATGATAAAGAACAAAAAAATGGTATTTTCTCAATGCAGTCAAACATAGAATGTATATTTACTGAACACCCAAATACGTCTTTATTTATTGCTGGGGATTTAAATAGTAGGTGCAAAGACTTTTTAGATTATATACCTGATGATAATTTGTTTCATATTTTTGGTATTGTTGATTATGATGGTAGTTATTTTAACACTCCACGTCGCAGTAAAGATAATATACGAGGGAATAACTATGGCAAGTTTTTAGTTAATCTATGTTGTTTATTCGATATTCATATATTGAATGGAAGATTTGAAGGTGATATTGATGGCAATTTTACCTGCATTTATAATGATGGTGCTAGTTTGGTAGACTACATGATAGCCTCCTCAAATTTATTTCCTTACATTAGAAATTTCTGTGTCTTAGATAGAGATGATTCGGATCATTTCCCCATATCATGTGAATTAACATTGATTAAAAAGCCTGTGCTTAATATATGTGGTAATGACGTTGAAACTTTAACTCCCATTAAAAGGTATAAATGGAATCAGTCTCACATGCTAAGTTTTATTGATAATTTTAAAAGTACTTTGCAAAATATATCTCATTCTTTAAGTAATACGGTTTGGGATGATGTTGACACAGGTGTTGAGGCAATTACTACGTTATACCACGAAGCTGGTCAGTGTATGTTTGTCAGAAATATGGGCGGACGTTTCTCTTCACAGTCAATCTTAAATATATTAAATATCGGGCGCTAAGGAAATTTAGAGAATCTAATTTCTTGTTTGGTCTCAGAATATTTAAAGATAAACGAAATGACTTTAAAAAACTATTCACGGATTATGTGTTCGCAATACCAGTTTTCTAATCGAAACATGTTACTTGCTAGTAGTAATGATCACAGCTCTTTTCGGAAAATTTTTAAGAGAGGCAAAACTTCAAGGGCTCTAGATCTCCCCATCTGAGTGGTATCAATACTTTGGATGACTTCTTTATGATGAAAACGCTGTTGCAATTGATCAGCCTTCTGATAATTATATTGACCCTTCTGCAAGGATTTTTAATGAAATATTTACTCGAGATGAGGTGCTAAGATCTATAGCAAACTTATCTGTTGGTAAATGTAGTGGCATCGGTGGTATTCCGGCTGAACTTCTAAGACTGCTAAGGATGATAGCTCCAATATTTTTAGCATTGTTTGATCATATATTTTTAACTGGTAATATTCCATTATCTTGGAGGTCGTCTGCTATAACTCCTGTTTACAAGTCTGGACCAAGTAACATTCCTGGAAATTACAGGGGCATATCTATTACAAATACTATGTATAAAATATTTTCGGGTGTCATTAATAAACGGTTATACGATTGGGCTGAAGAAAATAATAAGATTGATGAATCCAAGGCAGGCTTTCGGAAGGGTTATTCAGCTGTTGATAATATTTTCTGTTTACAATCAATGGTTCAGAAGTATCTATCTAAAAAGTGTGGTCGTTTATATTGTATCTACGTCGATTTCCGCAAAGCTTTTGATAAAATTAACCATAATAGACTATTTGTTTCTTTAGAGAAGAAGGGAATTCACGGTCAATTTATGAATACTCTCAAGTCTCTTTATACCGATTTAAAATCATGTGTCCAACTCAATAACAATGTCACTGATTTTTTCTCGTGTAATATCGGCACCCGCCAAGGGGAAAAAACAAGTTCGACAAGTTTTGATCTCTTTATAGATGAGTTGTCTGTCCTTTTACGTGAAAATTGTGAGAGTGGTATTTTTATCACAAATGATATTCCAGATATTTTTTGTTTGATGTTCGCAGACGATGTAGCAGGGTGTACCGAAACTGCAATTAAGCTTCAACAGCAAATGAATATTATTGACAACTTTTGTTGTGATACTAGGATGGAAATAAACATGGATAAGACTGTTTTTCGAAATGGTGGTCCTCTTCGTCGATATGAGCACTGGTCGTATCGTGGAACGCAAATTAATATTACCTCTGAATATAAGTACATGGGTATCTTACTTACATCAAGTTTGTCATGGTCATCCGCTCATTCTAAGTAAGTATCTCAGGCACAACGAGCTCTCTTTGCCATAAATGCTTATCAAAGACCTTTTGGTTATTTTTCTGTTGTTGATTCTTTTAAGATTTTTGATTCCATGGTCAAACCGATACTTTGTTATGCATCTCAAAATTTGGGGCTATGAATATGTAGATACAATAGAATCTATTCATAATAAATTTTGTAAGCGTATTTTATATGTACGTAGAACTACTAATACATGTATGGTTCTTAGTGAATGTGGTAGATTGCCTTTATGTACTACATATTATATAAATTGTATTCGATATTGGTGTAATTTGTTAACCATGCCATCACATAGATATCCAAAGCAATGTTATAACATGTTAAAATCTCTAGATGATGCCGGTAGAAACTGCTGGGCAACCAAAGTTAGAACACTTTTGTATAAATATGGATTCAGTTTTATATGGATAAGCCAAGATGTTGGTGATGTCATTGCCTTTATTACCATGTTTAAACAAAGAGTTGTTAACTATTGTACACTAGACTGGCAAACAGCTCTTGAATCCTCTAGTAGATGTGATCATTATAATAACTTTAAAAGCCTACTTACTGTTGAAAAATATTTAACTATGGATATTCAGTTAAAATATAGAATTGCTATGTCAAAGTTTCGCCTTTCAAATCACAGGCTGAATATTGAATTAGGTAGATATAATAATGTTATAAAAGAAAATCGTATATGTAACTTTTGCCAACAGTTTAATAATGCTAATGTAATTGATTGTGAGTACCATGCCTTTTTTAAAGGT